ATAAATTGTAGTGCTGTAGTTTTCCACTAGATGTTGTTGATGTCATCTTCCAGCTTTTTAAATCCAAACTTATATTGCAAGCTTTTTAAGTATCTTTAAAAAAAAAATCTCAAAAACATTTTAGTCCCCAAATTTCAAAGTTATACAGTATATGTATATTGCTTCCAAATTAATCTTGTAATTTTCTCTATTTTTTCCCAAGCAATTAATTTGCTGCTTTTCTTTTCCTGAGGGAATGGGATGGAAATTCCCCTTCCCTCTCTCATCAGGGAGGATTCTTTGCTTTGGGAAGTTTTCTCCCAGGAAAAAGTCTTAAAGTCATAAAAAGAGGATAGAGTCTCACCCAGTTCCATCCACGTTGCTCAAAAATTGCTGGTCAATACTTATTTTCTTAGACTGTCAGCAGCTTCTGACTGGCCACATGAATGTAGCCAGTCATTCCCTTGCTGATTTGGAGGGCTTCCTCGGATCAAATGAAAGGGCCGCCATCCTTTCACGATCAACAAGGGTCCCCTCCTTCTCTGTCACCTCTTCGGGGCGACTTTCGACCCTTTTTAGGATCCCCAGAGGGGCAAAATTGAACATGGAAGGAGCCCCGTCTTCCTGCACCCATTACGCTGTAACATCAAACCGGAAGTCCATAAATACATTTTATTGATCTGACATATGATTTTAAATAAGATTTTAAGAAAATAGGTAAGTATTCCTCAGCGTTAGTGAGCTAAATTTTCTGTTCTTATGTTACCTTAATTGTGGAAAAAAGAACACTATTTTGTACATAGTTATTTTAAGAATATGTAAATAAATCTGCTAAAACATATGGATGACATAAAGCTCTTTTATAAAAGCAATTATTGGTTTAACAGATGAACCATTCTAAAACTACTTAACTAGGCTTTTAGCTTTTAAGTTTGACTCTGCATTCTACTGTAACACATTTTATTCAAACCACATGATGAAGATATAAAAATCATGCTTTACAGTATGGTCTTTATTTTATAAAGGAACTCTGTCCAATATAAAAAGCATATGGAAAATCTGCTTGATGTGATTTTCACAAAAAGAGTTGGACAAAAGGAATATATAATCATTACCACATACAACAGAAATAGAAATATTCTACTAAATGAAATAATTAATCATGTTTTCCCTCTCTTTTCTTCCCTTTCCCCACCCCCAGTTATGCTTTCATATATTCTACTTGGCTTAAATATTAAGTTTTTTTAAGTACCAGTATCCAAAATCCAGAGTAATTCATAATACGTGGAAGAAAAAAATACAAATTCAGGAAAAATCAACATCAACTAACAGTTTGAAACAATAGCCATTTTTTAATCTTCTAATTTTATAGTGAACATTATGGATTATTAATATTTATATATTAAAAACCCTACACATGAAGAAAACAGCAGTGGAATTTTAACAACATATGTATTCATTTTCATAAAGTCACATTAACTCTTCTTAGAACAAGGACAAAATGTTGGTTTGACAAACTTTACTGAATATATAAAAATAGTACGCACATCAGTGTAATATCCCATACCAGTGATGGCAAACCTTTTAGAGACCGAGTGCCCAAACTGCAACCCAAAACCCACTTATGCATCGTCGGGTGCCGGGTGGGTGTGGCCCATCGGCTAGGTGTGGCCTATTGGCTGGGTGTGGTTGCGGTGGTAACGACAGACTGGGTGGGACTAAAAAGTTCAATCAATCAATTCCAACTTTGCAAGATCTTTTTTTTTCCGCGAGAAGTTGAAATTGACTGATTGAACCTTTTTTTTTTTTTGCACACGGCGGCGGAGGCCTAAAGCGAAAAGGTTTTATAAAACCCAGCTGAAGGCCTAGGACTGGGGCGATGGCGCGCGTGCCTACAGAGAGGGCTCTGAGTGCCGCCTCTGGCACCCGTGCCATAGGTTCGCCACCACTGTCCCATACTATGACTCTTGATCACAAATATATTACTGTGGCTTTCCAAAAACAATATGGCATTGGGATTGAAAGCATAACTGTTGGATGAACTTTTCTCAGATGTATGTATGTATGTATGTATGTATGTATGTATGTATGTATGTATGTATGTATGTATTATTTAACATATTTATATAGCATCCCAACTCACAAATAGGTGAGTCTGGATGGCTTACATCATATAATAAAAACCCACAAGAAAAACCACTCTCCGTACCATAGCAGCCGCAACAATTATAGGTAATCTGATTAGATTAAATCACAACTTTGAATCTCAATATTGGGGTTTGGGATAGGGAGAATTTAAGGCAGTATTAAAGACTAATACTATAATGCATGTAAGATCTTATATTTACAATAATAAAAATGTTGTTATAAATACTACCATTAACTAACTTTATGTCACAAGGAAGGGAGGGAGGGAGGGAAGGAAGGAGGGAAAGAAAAAAGAAGGAAAGAAACAAGGAAAGAAGGAAAGAGTTTGTTTTAGATTGCCAAGAATAAAGAGAATTTCTTTACTGTAATAAGGCCAGTGGAAAATACATTTGCTTCTACTGCCACCTGCCTGTTATTATGTGTATGTAGGAAATTAAAATAAATTGTTAAAAAGTAAAACATTTTAAGCCTCCCTTGATGTGATGCTTCCACAGACATCTGTCTGCCAGTCTGATTATAATGAATCTAGTAGAATTTCCATTGTACTGAAAGCAAGCTTTTTGCCAGTCTGGAAAGCAGCAGGACTGTGTGTGTGGGAGAGAAGAGTCAACTGAACAAGCTGACACTTTCTGGCAAGTGCAGAAGCAATAGTAGAAACATAAAATGATTAAAAGACATTATTACATATAAGTTGTACTTCTCAGAACCTTGACGAAGTATAAAGATATGGCTATAGAAGCAAACACATATGTTTTCATTCTTTTTCTGTGCATCTTTATTTTTTAGAAAAGAGATAAAAAAGTTGAGACTGCAACCTTAAACATGAAAGTTATAAAGTAATATAAATCTTAAACAAATGAAAAAATGTTTTTCTCCCATTTATTCAATCTATAAATAAATAATGTGGAAATGAAGGGACCAAAGAAGGCTCTTGAAAGCATTTGTTTATTAACAGCCTATGCTGAAATGCTAATAAACTCTTATGGGCAAATGAATGTTATACTTACCATTGTTCAAATCAGTGATTTATGATTATCAATTTGTGACTAAAGTTTTCATATTATGCCAATGAATCTATCAAGATTTCAGTTAATATTTGATTTACTACGAATCAATGAATGTCACAGGAGCTAATTATTCTTTGGCATTCTGAGGCAACTTTGCAACAGGACAACTACTTTGAAAACAGGTCTTCAACTTTTCCAGGACTCTCTTTATTTTCACATCTGCCAAACTTTGAATCGCCATCCTTCTACTGCATCAAATCTTAACTATATCCACCTTAGTTTCATTGAGACTTTTTTTTTCAGTTTACGACCTGTAATCCATTAATTCAGAGTAGAGTTGGGAGATTGTCCTACCATATACATTCAGATTAGGAATATATTTTATATTCTATGCACAGAACAGCTGGTTTTGAATGGTCCATGCCAAGATCTAAATATGTTTCAAGTGTTTCAACCATGTGCAAAATGGTTGTGATATTCCACATAGGAGCATTAGCAGTGACTGAGGGGACAGAGAGAAGTAAAAGAACTAAAAAGAAAGGAGGGAAGTGAGTGAGCTGGTGAGTTATGCACTTATTCCCGCTATACACTGGGAATTGGTAATGGCTGATCCAAAGTGTTCCAATAGAAATCCTAGGATGGGATGGGTTCAAAATGAATTAGTTTCTCCATTCTATTCACCGCATTAATTCAGTTTATGCATTTTAATATTTTTATGTGGCATCAACATTCCAAGATAAATCTTCTATTTATTAGCACCGGAGGGATGGAAAGTTCAAAAAGAATCACTGCATCTCCTAACACAGTGTTTCTCAACCTTGACAATTTTAAGGCATGTGGACTTCAACTCCCAGAATTCCACAGCCAGCAATGCTGGCTGTGGAATTCTGGGAGTTGAAGTCCACATGTCTTAAAATTGTCAAGGTTGAGAAACACTGTCCTAACACAATAATTCTCATATACGAAACAAAAGTAAAGCATACAAATGCAGAACTTTCTTTTAAAGACTGCAGCTAAATACTGAAATATATCCTTGAAAAAAAAAGTAAAATAAAAAAGAGAACTTTAAATATTTGAAAAATTCTAATAGGTACTATCTGCAGATAAGCTGAAGAATTAATACTGGGGGTCAGAGAGATAAATGACAGAGATACTAGGCAGTCACAGACTAATAAAAAGATGTTCTATTTTAAAGTCAAACAGAAAAAACAAAGGTTGCAGATTAGAGAATAGGGTAGTCATTAGGCAAGTAACCATATCATTATACCATTGCATTTCAGAAACTTAATCGGACAAAATTCATTCTTTTTCCAAAATGTTCCTATGTATTAAGCTAGTATAACTGCTAACAAGATATTTTATTAATAAACCTATTAATAAAATAATTAGAAGTAATGTACATCCCACAAAGAAGCAATGCAGAAAGAAGTTGTCCTAATCAAGAAGCCATCCTCTTTATTAGACACAAATAGTATAGTCCATCTCCTTCCTTTTCCAAAAACTTCATACACATTTTCCATTTTTCTACAAAACAGAATGTAAGGGTTCTGCCAATCTAGCTATATGAATAAGAACCATCAGCATCTTTTTTATGCCCCCAAGAGGGTGGAATTTTAAAAATAATCCCTGCAATGTTTTTTACAGGGAACGAACAGGGAAGATTTAAAGGTCAAAGTGAATTTCATAATTCTTACGAAGACTGAAAATGTCACTTCCTCCTTACAAATCCTGAAAGCTTATTAAAATTCCTATGTTATGGAAGTATGGAATTTGATAAAATCATAAATTATCTCATAGGAATTTAATATTAAATCTTATACAAAGTATAAAATATTTGTACAGTTTTTTCCCATTTCCCACACTTACTTTTTCATGTTTTTCAATTAGAATCTCCACCACAATGTTCTGAAATTTCAGATCCATAAGACCAGCCACTGTTTCTTCCTGTGGCCTCATTAATGTTGGTCCAAATACAACTCCTAAATTTGCCACAGTCATAAGATTTTTCTTAGCATGATCAGAAACACTTTTCAAAAACAGAAACAAACAAACAAACAGCATTATGAAAATGGCTACTTTAAGATGAAAAAATAAAATTACATTTCCTTCAACCATTGAACTTTTGCAACCATTCAAGATGAGCTTGTGAATTTCTTCTCTTTTCTTAAAATATTAAACCTCATTTAATAGATGGAAGTACCCCAAATTTCAAACAATTATTAGAAAAAATACTAACAGAAAAACAAAAAAAGCTTTTGTCCCTCTCAAAAAAAGTTGTTAGTAAATACTAACAATTATTTTATATCATTTTGAAGTGAAAACATTTTTACTTCAATTAAAAGCAATACTGTTAATGAAGATAATAGATTACATCCTGATTTGTGTATTCCTATATTGCATGTAGCATCATGTGTAATATCTGTAGACAACAGTATCTAACTTGCAAATTAGCCTCCAGATTGGAAATAGGAGTAACGTAGTATAGTGTAAACATGTTTGGGGTTAAAACTAGAATTTGGTTGCACTGTGGAATAACGGTCAAAATGTGTCAAAAGAAAAAAGTAGCGTCTTTACATGTATCAAGGAATGTTGTACGTAACACAGATGCAATTAAGCTGAGTATATAGGTCATCCTTACTTAATGACCACTAGTTTAGCAACTGTTAAAACTTGCAACAGTGCTGAACAAGTGATACTCATGACCAGTTCTTGAACTTCTGGCCATCACAGTGATTCTGCAGTCACGTAATCATGATTTCTGCCAGCTTCCAAGTAAAGTCAATAGGGTAGGAAGATGGAAGTTAAGTGCGGTCCTTGCATAACGACCTGCAATGTCATTAGCTGGGGGCAGCCAAAATTGCCATGACTAAGCAGCATGGTAATGTGATATCCAGATAACTGCACAACAGAAATTCCTTTCCAACTACTGTTTTTATGCAAGAACTACATATCTGACCAGAGTCATGATGAGATATGGAGAGCAATTTCCAATTTCCATGTTAAGAGACAACCATGGCACATGGAAGACAGTGACTTGGAATTTAAGAGTAGCAAACAATAAAGAGCTTGAAATAAAGAACCTTAATTAAAAAGTAAAATGGAAAGAGAAACATGTTCACTGTTGGTAAAGTTTTTGGATAAATGGAAAGACTTTTCTAATGCTTTTGGTGTGGCTGGGAAAAGATCCTGTTTCCTTCCTCTCTGGAGTGAGAGTGGCCCTACTGAGAAGTCCTTAGGAAGAGGAAAAGAGAAACAATAGATGAGTGAAGTAAAATGGATGAAGTGTAGCAAATATTATACAGTAAGTTAAAGAAGGGAGCGAGGACTGATTGGCAGAGCAATTTTAAATGGACAGTTACTATACCAACTAGAGTTTTGCTGAGATCAGAAGAGTACGGTAACCAATATGATGCCAGGTTGTTTTTTTTTAACCCACTGGATATTCCCTGGATACTAGTCACTATGGATATTTGGAGCTGGATTCCAGATCCATTTGTAATAACATGGCTTGAATGAGATTCAATGAGAAAAACTGGTGCATACCAACAAGCCAAGGCTGGGTTGGAAATGAGGAATTTCTTTGTCTGAGATTCACCTGCTAAGATTTTGAGTGCTGCAGCAGTACTAATTCCAATGATAAAGAAATGGTGGTGGTGATTCTATGCGAGGTTTACAAAAAAAAAAAAAAGAGGCTTATTTATGGTGCGCTTCAATCTCCAAATAGTCTGAGCAATGTACAGAGACAAAACAAAAGCTTAAAAAGTTCAACAAAATTCAGTCCTCAAACCAATGCTTATGAACAGTGTCATCAATTGATCCATCAAACAGAAGAAAAGGTTTGATGGAACCGCAAAGATTGTATTTATTTGCTGAATTTATCAGGATAGGGACTTCATGCAGTGTTGGGCTAAAGATAGTGTACTATCATGGAAAAGACTTGCCCTAGTTCAGCCACCATGTGCTTTTAGTAGACAGGGATATTCTCAACAGCCCTCCCTAGATAAGTGACTTGGATAAGCAGATTCAATTCTGGAAAGATGTTGCCAAATATACCTGATACTGCATCATAAAGTACTTTAAAATTCATTAAGCATGCATGTGATACAGATCACTTTTTCATATTGTCAATGGGGCATATTGAGTAAAATGGGCATGGACGAAAAGGAAAGAAATGAAATAAAGAACAAAAGTAGAATGTTCACAGGAAGTACAATTTCTGTATGAAAAAGAATGAGAACAAAAAATATGGAATCTGTATGGAAGAGGTAAACAGAAGTGTTTAAGAGAATAAAAGTTGTATAAAATGAAATAAAAAGATACTGAATAATGTATATAGACAAAAAAAAATAACTCCAAAGAATGTTATCAAAGAAAATACTGGAAATATTTGAACATTGAGCTGAAAGTCTGTTGCCCAGTACAGTAAGAGCAGTATACTCAATGGAATGTAAGCATGTCTAAGAATAAACAAAATGCTTAGCAAATGGTTCAACAATGAGCAGAGATTAAGACATGGATGTGTGATCTTTCCTTAGTTTTTTAGGCGATAATTATGTAAGGAAATGCTTGTGTTTGTCATTAGAACAGTGTTTCTTTTAGATATCAGTATGTGTGTTTGTCTGCATGTGTGTATATTTTTGCATGGAGACCATATTGTGTTGTTTGCTAGTACTTCAATAATTTGCAGTGTATATTAGATAAATCAGATAATTAGATGTACAGATCTAAAAATTAAAATACTGAAAACCAAGTTAAGATATAAATGTGATAAAACAAGAAGAAAAAGGGTCACCAATGTTGAATAAACATAGACTGAACACAAAAGTAAATGACCAGCATGAAAGATGTACATTGAGGTGGTTGCATGGAAAGGTATACTAAATGAATATTGGTATAAATGGCAATGGTTTCGGCTATGTTTCTTTTCTTTCTGTAATGCCTCTTATTATTTTAGCTATTTCTTAATATTTCCCTCTGCATTAACAGTGCTTAATCAGTAAAGGTGGGCATCCATCCATCCAGATTAAATTTTACTAAAATAGATATACAGTATACAACAAGGCAAACTTCACATTTGTTTTTGCTGTTTATATGAAATATAAAAATACACTCTGAACATAATCAGCCTTCTGGAACTGCAAAGGAAAAAATGTAAACATCAGACTAAGATACAAGATGCTTACTTTGCTAAGTGCTTCACAACAATATCAAGCATTTCTTTGTTCTTTTCTGGAAGTTTATGAACCAAGGAGTGGATAACTTTAACACGAGACTCAGGGCTACCACTTTCTACATAAAAGAAAAAAAAATAATAATTCGTAGTTATGCACTTGGCACAATGTATGCTGAAAATTATGTATAAACATTTTAATTTTCTTTCTTGCTACCTGTGCATTTTTAAAAATATAAAGTTAAATCCTATTTTGATACTTTTTTTATCTCCCCAGATGCTAGGAAACTTCAGTACTATATTAAAAGTTGCTAGTTATAGAACATTTATCATAAGAGGATAGCTTTTTATTTTCTTGGCCTTGTTTATGACTTTCCTTAATATAAAACCAAGCATCGGTTCCGTTTCCTGAAAACCACCCTGACTATAATATTTAAACAATTTGTTGAAGTGCATTACACTGAGATAATACAGACATGTCACAGCCCCACATGGGGCATAATGAAAATGAAATGATGCACAAATATGGTTAAAAAATGAGATTTGCTAAACCTATGCAGATTTGTAAACAATTAGGTGACAAGAGTCACTTGATAGTATTAAAATCAAATAATAACATAACATAAAGTAAAATAAAACAAAATGGTGAATAAATTAAATAAATACCTTGAATTAAATAAATACATACACTATCCACTCCAACCATTTATCTCCCATATCCTTTAGTATCATTATCTCTTTTCCAGCTTTACCTTCTTCCTCCTAGCATGCTTCAAGCTTAAATACCAAGAGAGTCCTGCAAATCTATCTTTTACAGATCCTTCTTTTTACGGAGCTTTCTTTCTTCATATCCTCAAATATCGTGCCTTCTCCTTCAAACCATTGCACATTCTGCTCCCTTCCTTGTTGCTGGCAGTCCCTCAGCTTCTTTAAGTCATAAACCTCTTTAGCCTTCCCCTTTAAAAAGTTACAGTCATAGTGAAACTGATAATATTCTCTTCTCTTATAAAAGGTAGGTTTAAATAATTGAATAATTAGGCATTTCAGGTTAATATCTAGGCTGTTTTCTTCTGTACAGTACAATATGGATTTTCTGATGGGGGGGACACTGAATCATACAATAATTCTTCTTTAGTTAATTATGGTTATGTTGACAGACTTTTTGAAAGATTCTTAACACAAAGTTCAAGCTCCTATGTAATTCAACTACATTACATTCTGGGAGGTTACATCCAGTTTTCTCATTACCCATTTCATATTATTTTCATAAGATAAAAATAATGCTAATATGTGTAAATTATATTGCAAAATCCTTCTATTTAGCCAAATACACTTAGTTTTATATATGAATTTGAATATATACTGTATAATAGTTTGCAGTGAGGCTGTTGTACTATGTAGAAATTTTTTAATATTCTGAATACTGTATGCATTTGTAGGAGGACCAGAAATATACATAAATTGCAAATAATTTTTGGAAAAGACTTCGAATATTAAGTTACCTAACTGGATTTCCCTGATTTCCAATAATTATTATTTTAAAAGAAATAAAATCTGATAAGTCATATATTTACTAGCAAGAGTGATGAATTCTCCGTGTAACTCATACGTCATTAAGGGCTCTGGCAGGCTTCTGTTAAGACAAAAACATTGTAATAATTAAGGGGGAAAATGATCATGCTTCTTTAAGTTTACAATTGTTTAAATACAAACATCCTAAAACTATATATTTTATCATACTACAATGTATTCATTTTAATTTTGCACTGTTTAATTTTCCACTTAGGATTCCTCTTATAGTAACTATAAAAAAATCATCAATCCGTTAAAAAAATCATCATTCCGTGAAATATTTCTCTGGGTTGTATCCCATATTGCACAGGATGTTTTTACCACCAGAGCCAGAAAATATAAAGGCATCATTACCATACTGCAAACAATGTAGTCTTTAAAGCAACGGTTCTCAACCTATGGGTCGCGACCCCATTTGGGGTCGATCGACCATTTCACGGGGGTCGCCAAGCAAGGCTGTCCGCCATTTTTTTCCCCTTTTCCGGCGGGTGCCTTACCTCCCTTGGGCTGGGCCAGCTGGTAGTCGGCCTGCTCCGTCTCTGCCGCTTGCCAGCTACGCCTCGGCCAGCACAGGGGGCGGAACCACGCATGCGTGGCACTCCCGGGCAGGGAAAGTCCTTGACTTACGACCGGTTGGGTAGTCCTCGACTTACGACCGGTTTAGTCCTCGACTTACGACCGGTTTAGTCCTCGACTTACGACCGGTTGGGGGTCGCGGCATTAAAAAGGTTGAGAACCACTGCTTTAAAGGATGCCTTTTTTCAAAACATAAAAGTTTATTATAACTATTTGCACAGATTGCACTCTGAAAATTACAATTTACTTCTTTTTCTTTCTAGTCGAAAGGAATGTTGAAAAGGAAGTACGTAAAGAAGCTTGAGTGTCTGTCTATCCATTAGCAGTACCACTCTCCAAACCCAGGGCAGGACAGAATCAAATTGGGGATGACAGAATGTTGCATTAATGTATCAGCTGAAGCTATAAAGAAAAATGTGCCCATGAATTGCTACAGAAAGGGCAATTGTGCAGCAGCTTGACATGTTGCCAACCATTCCATTCTAAACTTTTTCCCAGGTCATTTCATTAAAGGACTGGAAAAAATTCCAGAAATAATATTCTACACGCTTCCTAAAATTGTTTACACTTGCATTTTTCAAAAAAAACCCCATGATAACATTTGCCATCTAGTATAGTTTCAATTAAATTACAGAAATCATGACATATTTAATTGTACCTTAAGTATTGTTTCACTGTACTTGTTATTGTCTTCACTTCCCATTCTGTATTACCTTCCAAATCAACTTCATCACTTGTTTTTGCATCTAGAAAATAAAGATAAGCAGGTAAACTTGATCAGTTATAATTCAGTTTTCAGATACTGTATAACTGAGCTTATGAAAGCAGCAATAAATCAAATCATAAAATTCTGCTAATGAAGAGAATAAGTCACACAGCTGCAAGATTCTGTTTCTTATCTTCTATGCATAGAGAAGTAGAAACTACAAGATAGTGGGAGTACACAAGATAGTATACAGTACAGAAAAGACCATTTCAAAAATCAAATTTACATCTGTTGTCTGTTGTGGTCTCTGTGAATTATATATGGGTTATTAGCAGGCTTACTTGGGTTACTTATATTCTGGGACAAATAGCACTCATTAATACAGAATTAAAAGCAACACTGATATCAAACAAAGTATCATTTTGAGGTCAAACATTTAATATATAATGCTGAATGCTCCCTTGTCTGGAAGAGATATAGAACTGCAGATATCAAACTAGTTGGTAGAGTGACTTCTCGTGGACTCTATGGTTTTGGCTGGCTATAATACACACTGGTTACAATAAATTTTGTCAATTAAATTAATATATATTGATATTATTGATACATCTCTTTTATCCATCAGACAAGAGAGATTTTTCCCTCAACCCAGAAAAGCAGAAAAATATCTGTTGTATATCATAAAATGACTTGGTTGCAGGCAAAAAAATCCAAGAGTCAGTGGTTATCCCAATAGAGTACAGATAAAAAGGCACTCAGGTGAGGCCACTTTAAACTATAAAAGAAGACTATAGTTGGTCTTCACAAAATGTCTAACATTTGATACAGCTCCCTCATAACCAACCTAAAAAGTCAGGTCTTGACACTAGGCAACTAAGTGACTGGAGGTCAGGGTGCAGATTCTTACTGTGTATTAGATCTTATGAAACAACTAGAATAGCAGAGAATCATACCTATCTTAGCCACCAAAAACAATCAAGGTGGTTCTTGATGAGGCATGCAAGCTTTTGATAATGAATGGACTTTTTAGCCAAGATGTTCTTTATAGCTTGCTTCTTTGCTACAGAAGTTCCTTTTGCTGCAGAACTTCCATTGTTTACTTTTATGATTTTGTTCCTTTACTATTGTTATTTTTACATGTTTTATTTTTTCTTGTTTTATTGTTGTGAGCTTCCCAGAGTAGCGAAATAGGCAACAAATAAATGTAATAAATACAAAAAATGTCCTCAGTGGTAAGAAGCTCCTGGCAAGGTTGTAATCCATGTTCAAAACTCTTATATGCAATGACAGAGATACTTATGAAAAATTACAGTAATTTTTCTAACAATCAGATCCATTTAATTCTTGTAACTAATATTCTTTTTCAGTAGATAAATTATTTAAACATGAACATCCATTTTATGAATTTTTTATCCTTAACTTTGTTTTTTCTTTCTCACAACATTCCTTTCCTCTTGCAAATCTTGATGAGCCTGAGGACCACAATTTAGGAAAGCTAAGACAGGAGATGAAATCTTTCCCATGCTTGCATACCTATCCAGGTAAATCTTTGTAAGGCAGAACAACGTGCTGAAACATGATGTAATAGCAGAATAGGATTTGATTTCCTGCCTTTCCATAAAAAACAAGCTTAAAAAATGAATCACCCAAGAAGCATGGATCTCAGATAATGGAAAGGTCATAGGATAGTGGTTTATATTCTTCATAAAACAGAACCCCAAAATAAGCTTCTATTTGAAGAATATGCAATAAAATATAAAAATACAAAGAAATAAACTACATTCTATAGTATGTGTGTAAAAGGATTTTGTGTGTGTGTCGATTCCTTGCACTTGTCTGGATCAGTCCCTGAGGTTTTCTTGGCAAGGTTTTTCAGAAGTGGTTTGCCTTTGCCTACTTCCCAGGGCTGAAAGAGCCTGCCTCAAGGTCACCCAGATGACTTTGTGCCTAAGGTGAGACTTGAATTCATGGTCTTCAATTTTCTATTCTAATTCCTTAACCACTGCACTAAACTGGAACTGCTATCAGCTATTTAAGTTTAAACTATCGTGTTTCCCCCAAAAATAAAATTTTCTCCAAGAAAACAGACGATTAAGTTGGGTTTTATGAAAATACCAGGTTTCAACAGGTTCATGCATTTTGTCTCAATAACTTTACCTTTTACTTCCTCACTCTTCCTGATGCTATAAGAAATATTGAGGTCTATATACCTTTCTTAAATTCAGTTTAATTGCCAATAGCAATTAAAGAGTTAATTAATAATTAGCCAGACCATTTTGCAAATTAATACGGCAAGCAAGACAGTATACTGTATAATATCTGTCATATTTTCAGCAGAGACAGCATCATACAGGTGGCAAGGATTTGACAGTAGCGCATACGGTAAAATAAAGTACTTTGCCATTCACATAATGTCTGGGGTAATGAGATGAATTCATTTGCTAGTTTCCTCTAGTTTTATCTGCCAAAGAACACTGTGTTATCAGCACAGATGGAGCTACATGCTCCTGGAGATGAGCCTGTTGCAAACTAACATCTCTGAATATCAATGAATCCTTTAGAGTCAGAGCAGGGATTCTATCAAGTGACAAGCTTGGAAAACACAGAAAGCTCAAGTAATCCCAGTAGTCTGATCTGATTGCATGTACTGCCAAAAGTTGTGCACAAGAAATCTGAAAATTTTGCAGTATTGGTGGGATTGGATAATAGACAGATGAACAGTTTCAGATGACTTATAGCTATATTTGTGTCAGAATTAAATAAAAAATTTATCGAAGGGATGAGAAACTATAATTTTCTAGAAAATCACTAGAGTTCAGAATAAGGATTAAACACATACAGACATGTACATGTATCCCTCGACCTACGTACAACTGCGGACCTGCGCCTTTTTCGCCGAGCCCCTGAAAACCCATCTATTTCGTGTGGCCGGCCTGGCGTAGTCTTAATTAGGTTTTAGTATAGGTTTTTATATGGGGTATTTTAGAGCAGGCCTTTATTTATTTAATTTGATTTTAGAATAGATATTTATTGTGATTTTTATTATCGCCTGTTCACCGCCCTGAGTCCCGTAAGGGAGATAGGGCGTTATACAAATCTAAATAAACATAAACATAAACAAACATTTAAATATATTTGCACTGAAATGAGACAAATTTCAATATGTTAAAAATATTCCTTTACTTTAAAAAATATCTAAATATACTGTTTTCATTTCATGAAAATTTTGTCCTCACATAATTAAGGAGAAATCTTGAACAAACTACAAGTATCTTAAATCTTTCTATATTTTCAGATTTTTTTTAACTTTGGTGAATTAAAGGGCATAATGGCTATGTATTAAATTATGCCTTCTCAGCATCCATTAAAATTCTCCCAAATCAAGTTGCTTCCTCATCTTGACATGATTTAAATAGAAAAGTAAAACTTGAAAAAAACATTAAAAAGTATGCATATATAATGATAAAAGCAGATTTTAAAAATGAGCATACCCATCAACAAATTCAGAAGTCTCTGGACTTTTGAACTCACCCCTACAACTCTATACAGTCCTTGATCATTTATACCTATTAGAGACACAAAAGAATAAATAAAAGTTATTATATATAAATAAGTCATATTTATTATAAACATTTAACCTGGCTGATGAACAGCTTTGAAACAATTAATCCATCGACAAGTAAAAACTGAGAATTTACTTCCAGGAACAGAAGAACACTGAAGAATGTATAAGCTTCCCATAAACATCTTTTTGGCTACTGTGTAGACAAAATCCTACACAGTGCAGGTTTTTTATCTGATTAAGTATAATTGTATGTAAGAGCTAAAATAAAGTGATAATGAAATCTTTGAAGAATTCAAATATATCCATGCATCAATGAAAACACTTTTAGTTCAATATACTGAAGTTAACATAAGTTCAATATTTTTCTCCCTGGTTAGTCCATAATTTAAATTACAGACAATTTGAGCTCTTTATCATACCTAAAAAAATAAATATTAACCTAGAACAGTGGTTCTCAACCTTTTTAATGCCGCGACCCCAACCGGTCGTAAGTCGAGGACTAAACTGGTCGTAAGTCGAGGACTAAACTGGTCGTAAATCGAGGACTAAACCGGTCGTAAGTCGAGGACTACCCAGCCGGTCGTAAGTCGAGGACTTTTCCTGCCCGGGAGCGCCATGCATGCGTGGTTCCGCCCCCTGCGCCGGCCGAGGCGTAGCTGGCAAGCGGCAGAGACGGAGCAGGCCGACCACCAGCTGGCCCAGCCCAAGGGAGGTAAGGCACCCGCCGGAAAAAAGGGAAAAAAATGGCGGACAAAAAAAAATGGCGGACAGCCTTGCTTGGCAACCCCCGTGAAATGGTCGATCGACCCCAAATGGGATCCCGACCCACAGGTTGAGAACCACTGACCTAGAAGATACACTCAAATATAAGGCGCTATCTAACTATTGTAAACTTCAATTACATATTGTCCATGAAGAGCACTGCAGTTGTTGTTATTGTACATAACATGAAATCACAGCTGGCAGTTCTTTAGCTGGTGTTGGCCTTCCTACACATTGAGTTCTTCCCAAGAACCTAGGATGTCATAATCTATCAATGTAATATATGTGTAATACTAGCAGTGTGGCTTTTATAAATGACAGATAGAAATTTTGTCAATGCGCACAAGATTTTTTGGTATGGCAGTATGCCAATAACTACGGGAACCACCATGGCCCGTTTATGCTATAATCTTTCAACTTCAGTTTTCAGATATTGATACTTTGTGATCTTCTGCAACTTTTGGTCTTCCATTCTACTATCCCCTGGTATTGCCATAGCAATTATCCACATTCTCTTCTTTTCAACCAATTATATAAATTGCAATGTTTATATTTTCACCTTTTTCAATTAGTATACTTAGTTTTATAACATGGAAATGCTAATACTAGTGATATAGCAGGTCGCATAATTTCTAATCATTTTTATATGACACAGTCTTAAAAGTTCCAAGAAACTGTTAGAAAATATAATAAATCTGCATGTTTTAGGATATGTATTTCCTGAATTGCTAACAGTAAACACAATCAAGAAAATAATAATATGGATCAAGCCACAAGAATGTAATATTAAATCTGGTAGTAATATAGGTAGTCCTCAAGTTATGAGTGGAATGGAGTCTGCCCATTCCACTCGTAACTCGAAAATTCGTAGAGTGAATCTCATTCGAGGTATGAGATCACTCCCTTGCTCGCTAAAACACACACGGCTCATTAAGCAAACATGAGGTATCTCAGGGTGGGGAAGGCCATGGAGGGCCTAGTGCTAGTACAGGCCCCAAGGCCTCCCCGACCCACTAAAATACCTTATGCTTCCCCCTCCCTTCCTGCCGCACCGGACTCACCTGGAAAAGATCAGTCGCCTCTCTGCTGCAGGTCCGCCCAGATCTGAGACTGGGAGATGCTTCCACAGCTCCCCACAGCCCAATCCCGGGTTCCAGAGGCCTTTTCCAAGCTGCTGCCACCCGGATCTGAGGCCAGAGAATGCTTCTGCGGCCCACCGGATACCTGATCCAGGTGTTGGAGGTCTTTTCCAGGCCACTGCTGCCCTGATCTGAGGCCAGGGAACGCTTCTGCAGCCCCCCATGGCCGATCCGGGCTCTGGAAGCCTTTTCCAGGCCTCTGCCACCAGAAACAGGCTGACACAGGGCTACATAAGCATCCCCCATCATCAGATCCTGGTGGCAGCAGCTTGGAAAAAACCTCCGGAGCCTGGATTGGGCATCCGGTGGGCCGTGGAAGCATTTCCCGGCCTCAGATCTGGACAGCAGCAGCCTCAAAAAGGTCTCCAGAGCCCAGACCGGGCCACAGGGGAGCGCAGAAGTGTTCCCCGACTTCAGATCTGTACGGCAGCAGCCTGGAAAAGGCCTCTGATGCCCCGATCCAGCCTCTGAAGGCACGTGGAAGCTTCGGTTCTGTTCTCTGTTGCAGAGAACAGAGGCCTAAATTAACATGAGATCATGCAAGATCAGTAGCGTGAGATCTCGCCCCGCTGATCTTGCATTACTTTAGGTCTCCATTCTCTGTGAATGAACCGAAGGCTTGGAGCAGCCAAGAAAGTGAAGGATCTCGATGTTCGCAGGGTGAGTATTGAAGGCCTGGTACCTAGGGAGACCCGTGGCGGGATGGGGAGGGAGGGAATAACCCAGGGTGAATGTTGCAGAGCCACTGCGGACTTGTAGATGTCAACTTGCGGACTTCGTGGACTCAGCCAGCTGGAATTCTGGGAGCTGAAGTCCATAAGTCTTAAAGTTGCCAAAGTTGAGGATTAGGATTCAACTAAAATGTACTGCTAGCTTATCCTAAAGCAGCAAACGCAAGCTATAGCCATTCAGATGTTATTAGGCTTAAACCCAATTTGCCTATCCAGTGGTCAGTGTTTGATAAGATACAAGCTATAGTCCTAGGAAGTCACAAAATCTCAACTCTTATTCTAATAATATATTTTCTAGAATGAATATTGTTAATGCTTATGACAGTTTTCAGTAGTCTATAGAGCTATTTTCAAAAGCAGTTTCAAGATTTTTATTATGTTCCTTTCAATTCCTCACTAGTGAAAATCTTGTTGTAGAACTTCAAGGAATGATAGCTTACTGCTGCCATCTGTCTTTCCAGCAATGAATTATTATAACTAGTGCAGAAAATGGATGAAAGCTTTTAAAACAAATATTTGGGAAGTGGAACTATGAAGTCTCAGAAGAGGAAGAAAAATAAGTATTATCCACCTCAAACAGAATTGCTGAGGATACAGATAAATTAAGATTAAATGAAATATTTCTCAGGTACAAAAGAGTAACTGGTATAGAAAGCACAAAAATGTACTATGTATCTGATGTCTCAAGAAATCACAGTGATTAAACAAGTATCAAGTGTTATTTATTTCATTTTATTTGTGCCCTAATAGGTCACCAAATGCCTCAAAAATACTCATAATGACAATATTTAATATTTTCTTTTGCATGGCAAACTTCCCATATCAAATCCTTAGCATTTTCTAGATGATACTGGGGAAAAAATCCTATAATAAAAGCCTAGAAATCCATTGCTACTCAATGAAGGTCCTATTCAATTAGATGAAGCGATGCTAAGAAAGAAAGCAACTTCCTATTGGCTGAGAAAACTAGAAACTCTTTTTGAGGTTTAGATAGCATAGATAGCTATGGTAAGATAGGTAAGATAAATGTAGATTTTAAAAATATTTATGTTCAACAAGCAATTCTTAGAATATGGAATAAGTATAAATTTAGATTTTGCTTAATAAACATTTTATGGTTTCAGCAGAAGGACCATTTTATAGATGAGAAATTATAAGTACACATAAATGGTTAATTTACTGAGATATAGTAAAAATTTTCTCAAGATTTAAGGATAATAAAACATGTGGTTAAAAGGATTGACATTATGTTCTAGCCTTAAAAAGAATTTTTATAAGATGATATATATTTATCATCAGAGAAACTATCTAGAACAGTGTTTCTCAACCTTGTCAATTTTAAGGCATGTGGACTTCAATTCCCAGAATTCCACAGCCAGCAATGCTGGCTGTGGAATTCTGGGAGTTGAAGTCCACATGCCTTAAAATTGTCAAGGTTGAGAAACACTGATCTAGAATATACTTTGAATCTTGCTGGAAACAACATCAAGAAAAAAAGCAATGTCTACACTTGTGGTTGATTGGTAAACCCCTATAGATTTTTATATGAAAAAAAATGCATTACAGCTGGTAATTTAAAAAATGGGTAATAGAAAAAAGTGAGGGTATTTTGTAATAGAGTAAGAGATACTTTTGTAAATGTACTCATATTTGCTGCAAAGAAAGTTTTAATTCTTTATCTTCCTGCAGTTTGCTTTTTTTCTTTCTTTACTGCTTTTGCTTTTTATTAGTTGTGTTCATTTTAGTGTTTTGTAAAACTACTAAAAATTTGTATGTATGTATATATGTATAGCAACTTAATGGTACTATATATCATATATTATAGGGGTCCCCAACTCCCAGTCCATGGACCGGTACCAAGCCACGGTATGCCAGTAACCAGTACGCACAAACAAGCAAAGCCCCATCTTTGGGATGCAGGCAGCACACAAAACCACGTACTCTCCAGTCTGTGGAAAAATCTTTCTCCACAGAACCCGTCCCTGGTGCCCAAAAGGTTGGGGACCTCTGATATATTATATCAGAGCTTCCTACTTTCTGCCTCCTTTTTCATCTGTACTTGTTTCTTTAACCAGCAGCCAATAGAGTAACTAAGAGGAAGCTAAGCAACCTGAGCACATCTCTCCATTCCATGATGCTAAATTCTGATGACATGCCAAAAGAGAAGCATGTTTTTTGCTATCGTAAAGTAGGAAACACAGATTTAACATACACACAAAAGCCTAGCACAGTTACTTGCTTCAGAAGATCTGGAGATGAATCAACTATAAGGAACTAGAGAAAAAAATATCCAAGAGAACCTGTGCTTGCTTTACAACTTATTACCTTAGCAGATCCAAAATTAATCTTCAGCAGTCATTAAGTGAATACATAGAAAGACATTGTAATATTTCAAAGAATCAAATATTTCAAAGAAAATTTGCCTATCTGCAACTTTCAGAGATAGACAGACAGACAGACAGACAGACAGACAGACAGACAGACAGACAGACAGAAAGAAAGAAAGAAAGAAAGAAAGAAAGAAAGAAAGAAAGAAAGAAAGAAAGAAAGAAAGAAAGAAAGAAAGAAGACCAGAGGGGATCTTACTTTTACATGCAAAAAGCTTTTGTTTCAATATTAAGTATTACAACAAAGCTTGATAATATTTCACATTAAAAACAATTTACTGCACAAACTTTCAAACATAGGAAGCCAAAACTTAAAAAACAGCTCCTAAATAGAGTAAATTATAAATACAGCTCCGAACCCATATATCAAACAGTTACAATAGCACAGAATTACATGAAATGTGAGAATTCAGCCAATTTTCAAGAGTAGCTTTACAAGTCATTATGCATCAGTTTTAGATTTTATCTAGTCATATATTATAAATTTCATAAAATTAATATATTGAAATGCTATGTGCAATTCTGCAAAACACTATTTTGTCTCTTTCCCAAGTCATCTTTTCATTTCATAGGTAGATATCATGACTCCTTTGTTTTGATACACAAATGGCAATGGTAACATGATGAGTGTTCTGCACCAGTTGTATAAAATTGCAGTATAAAATATGCCTGGAAGTCAGCAACTCTGTGAAGTTTCCTTTTTTGAAAAGAGAAAAAGTATTATCTGCAAACAATGTTGCCGAGAGGAAGGGGGAAGCTAGATCCCCCCCCCCAACAGTCTAATGGCTTTGGGTTCTTTCTCTGACAGCATGCTTGCTCAGAACTGCTGGAGAAAAAAGATTATTATAAGACTTCTTCCTTCCTCCCAAGAATCCAATGACTTTGAGCCGGACTACTACAAAAAAAAGAAATCTAATTTCCCTTTCTCTCAGTAATTGTGAAAGAAAGATACATTTGTGCAAGATGTAGGAAGACTGTAAAACATAAAGATGGTCATGGAGGGCAGTATGTGGGGATGGAAAAGTTCCCTGTTCACGATTTACTTGGTGCCTTAAATAGGTAGCCATAGCAAGAAAACTATTAGGGCTCAAGGATTATGCTCATGAAACAGCAAAGCTGAGTAGAAGTTGGAATGTTTCCACTTTTCTACTCTGCTTTTTTCCCATGAATATTAGAAGATTCATTATAGCCAAGATGAAAGATTATTTATTTCTGTTCAATCCAGGAATTCTTGTCTTTACCTCTTCTTTCAATAGCACTAATGCATTTTCTGAGAATTGAGAATCCAATTTTATCTAGCTGTGTACCTAAGACGACAAAAAAATGAAGATATTTCAGATCTTTAAGCAATATTTTCCATTTAACAATTTATTTATTTTAATTACATTTATATCCCGCCCTTCTCCTTGCCCTTCTCCTTGCGGACTCATCTATACAAATAATTGTAGTTATAGCTATTCAAACAATCTATCACCGAAGTAGGAGAGGGGTTTAAAACAATATATATTACCCCAACATATGGCTATTGGGTTTATTATACAAACAACCCTCTCCAATTGTTTTCTCTCTCTGTTTATATTGCATCTAGCTGTGTCACAAAATAAAAATATTAATTTGAAAAGAAAATTGAAATATGCATAAAAAACAAAATATTCTTTATTAATGAGCACTTATCCAAAAGGTATTATTTTTGTACTTTTATTCTGCTACATTAAACAACAACAATAAAATGATCACTTGTTCATTTCCAGTGATATTCAGTGGAACTTCAAAATTATGAACTGAAATTTAAATAGATTTAGATTTCAATCCTGAATCAAAATGAGGAGGCATCAACTCACTGAAAGCAAACAGAGCTGTTTTCTAAAACATAGGCTGAAGCAAGTGTTGAATAAAATTGGAATACAATTTTATTTCAAATGATTTTTTTTAATCTCTTAGCTGGAACAGTACAGGTAGTCCTTGACTTCATTTAGTGAATGTCCAAAGTTACAAAGGCACTGAAAAAGTGACTTATGACCACTTTTCACACATACAACCATTGCAACATCCCCATGGTCACAAAAATTCAGATGCTTGGCAACGGATTCATATTTAGGAGAGTTGCAATGTCTCGGGATCATGTGATCCCCTTTTGCAACCTTCTGAGAAGCAAAGTCAATGGAGAAGCCAGATTCACTTAACAATTGTGGAACTAACTTAACAACTGCTGTGATTCACTTAACAAATTTGGTAAGAAAGGTAATAAAATGGAGCAAAATTCAACAAAAAAAATGTCTTGGTTAACAGCAAAAATTTTAGGCTCTATTGTAGTTGTAAGTTGAGGACTACTTGTGCACAAGATAGAATAACGTTTATTTGTTTGTTTAACAAATTTATTTAGCCACTCAACTGACATGTAAGTGATTCTGGACAGGTCACAACTTTTAAAAAATCCAGAATAAAGTTACCTTCAGAAATTATTCTTGAAAATTTAATTTTAATATAAAGATTGTTTTAACTCTAGTACTTACTTCCTTCTTTTTGTGTATTGGCCTTGTTCAAATTGAGAAACACCTAACAAAACAAAACAAGAAGAAAGATAAAACTTCTAACTGCACTCAAAATACAAGCTTTTAGACATTTGGGTAAGGAAGAACTCCCTACTCCATTAAAAGACAAAAATGGATTGTTTAGAATTGAATCAAAGTACTACTTGGTCAGTTACTTTCTTTGTAACTAACAATTTCTAACTTTCATCTGTTTCTGCATGCATAAATAAGCATATTTCTGAATGGTATAGATAACCAATGCAAGTTACGTTAGGATCAAGCCAGATGACTGGAATTCAAAATTCACTTCCATAATCCAAATAATGACATTAGAGGTAGAGGCAAATCAAAACTCTCCTGCAGACATTATGTGGAACTAGAGGAGAAGTTGCTTTTAAGTGTCAGCAATTAGGACTGCCCTTACATGCCAGCTTTTAGGGTGTTAATTTTGCTAATGCATACACTGCAGGTATAGATGCTGTCAGATAAAAAAAGAGGCTGTGCTTAGTTGAAGTCCTGTGAATTGGGCAAACAAGACAAATTGGATTAGCCTTACAAACCAGAGATGTGTCATCCCTCCTTTAAATTCTTAAGGCTTCTGACAGATTTTCATACTTCATCCTGTTTCCAATAAATCTATATTAAGGAATCTTATATAATCTCTTCTCCTCTTCCTCCTCCTCTTATTTCTTCTTTTGTATTTATTTGCAGTATTTCCTGGGGTAGTATGGATTTTGTGTGTTTTTTTTAATTCTAACTAGCTTCCTTCCAAAGGAAAGATGCTCCTTCAAAATTATTTGTATTTTTATGCTATTCTCTTCATTTAACAAATGTTTCACAGTGAAAAGGAGCTCTTGATTTGTCAATAATCTTTGAATTACTGCATGTCTAAACTGTATAATTTGGCAAAGAGCAGACAGAAAAGGAAACTGGAACTTCAACAATATATATTACAATTACTTGTACCTTTTAAATTATGTTAAATTTCATTATGACAAATGACAGATAATTAATACAATATAAATATGCTTGTTATTTCTACACACACTGATACTTGAAGTATTTTTATATAAACCAAAAATGAAGTGTTTCTTAAGAACTGTAGATAAAAACAGTAACATTTCTGAGATACAGCCTTTTTATTAAGACTGTCAATTTTATATTATTAGAGCTAATAGTAAGTTTTTTCAAAAGTTTTGCTTCCTGAAAAACTTTTGCTGATTATGATAGACTCTTACAAACTGCAAACAAATACATTTTCAGAATGACTGTATGACATAGGAATCTTGAGAAATATCAAAATATGAATTTAACTATGATGTATTTAATCTCATAATGTTTCCATCAGCTTTGATGGATTCCGGTTGCCCTGATACCATTTTTCCATTGTGGCAATGTCCTATTTAAACTTTTCACCATGCTCGTCACTGACTTTCAGGAAAGAAGTGCAAGTGTGAATGCAGAAAATGAATATTCAGTGACATGTGGCACTTCATCATCTTGTATGCTGTAAAAAGTTTGTCAATCGGCTGATTATAGTTTGGTGCTCTGTAACTGCCAAGAAAATTCTCAACAACATCCTTGAATGTTTTTCAGGTGCTTTTCTCCGGCACCACTAACAGATCTTCAAATAGATATGTCATTGCCCAAATTGACATATCTTGGGTAAACAAAATTGCCTTCCTTAATCTTGGCATCATTTATTCTGTCTCAAATAACGAAAATCTTCACTTTCCTTGTTAATCGCTTTCACAAAATTTGTCAACAGTCCAAGTTGTATGTGAAGCAGTGGAAAAAATATCTTTGTCAGATCGTGTTCTGTCCTGGAACCAAATTCTTTCAGACTGGCCATTTCTTTTTAATGTAACTCTCTTGCATGCTGTCCCATACACATATGTAACAACAACACTTGGTATATATAGCTGCATTCCAAGCAGCAGACCCACTACTTCTAGATATTTACAGATATGCCAGTTATGCTTAGCATACTGGATGTGCTTCAACAACAATTCCATATTTTGTTTTCATGTTTCTTTCTTTAGTGCAGCATAGCCAATAGTAGTAGCAATAGTCATAGCAGGATGTACATTGCCACCATGTAAAAACAGATTTCTATAAAATGGTACATGTTAGTTTAAATTACAGGTTATTTTCCTGATTAGCAGCCAAAACTCTGTAAGATATACCCAAAGTATTCTGAAAGCAAAACTTTTGTTGTCCAGTGTTAAACTTCATTTATAAACAAATTTACAATAGAATAATTTTCTTCAAAAACGATAACAACAAAATAATGCTGCAACAGTTTGGAAAAATTTTAATTCAAAAAAATCCAATAACATTTTTTTATATTTTTAGTTTATGTTCAGTTTATACATTATAGTTTTTTTCTCTTAGAAGGAATATTCATTTATTCCTAGGTATATTTTTTGTATATATTTCCATGTGTACATTTAAAAACATATAAATAGATGCACATACACATATATACCTTTAAAGCAGAAAGTTCCATGCAATTGATCCATAAAATTCTATGCCAGTATGCACGCATTAGTATTTAACAGTGATATGTTTTATCATTTTGTTATGTAAGCACATAATGCATAACCTATATCACATTAACTATATAATTAATAGTAAATACAGTCCATGTTGTATTAGTAGTCTCTCCATGTTTATTTATTTGTAAAAATCGTAATTCTCTTACGGTTTCCTTCCCATCTAAGGCTTCAAACCACAGGTTCCTGTCCTCTTCTGAGAATGCTTGCAGGGTCAAAGGCATACCAGATCTATAAAAACAGAGTATTTAAAGTTATTTAAACCACCACTAAGCACTAATTTTCATATGAAGTAATTTTTTTCATCATAACACTTTACAAATGCATCATATCCATCTTTGAAACTATCAGATATCTTTGAAACTGTAATGTAGTTCATAGTGCTAAGTGAAAAATAAAAAAGTATACAAGCCAAAACCAAGCGTGCACACGCATGCACACATACATACACAGACACACACTTACACAGAAACAATGGTTTAGCATAATACATGAAACAAGTCATTATATCTGAACCTGAAATTCTGGATGGCCGTACTAAAGTTAATTGAAGTCAACCACAAAAGACATTTTAATTTAGACCAATTTAGAGTATATGAGGTAAAAAAAATAATAGAAAAAGCCATGTTGGCGCAGTGGTTAGAATTCAGTATTGCAGTCTGACTTTGCCCACTCCTGGGAGTTTGATTCTCACTAGCTCAAGATTGACTCAGCCTACCATCCTTCCGAGGTCAGTAAAATGAGGACCTGGATTGTTGGAGGCAATATTCTGACTCTGTAACTGCTTAGAGAAGCTGTAAAGCACTATGGAGCAGTATATAAGTCTAAGTGCTATGACTATTGCTACTACTGAAGCTCATTAAAACAAAATCAATTTGTATCATTAAGTTTAAGTAATACAGTGTGCCATTATTCTTATGTGATATCATTCTGTTATGCAAGAGAAGAGACATTTAAACTATAAGGCTGAATTAGACTGTCCCATTTCATAGCATTTAATAATACCTAGTTTCAATATGTCTATGAACAAATTGTTCATATCATTTAAATATTAAAATAAAGTAAAATATTAATATATTTTGGGTACTTCCCTAATCTATGAAATTTAACAAGACATCAATGGTTATGGGATTTTTCCTGAAAGAATGGCCAAAGTAATTATTCTACAATACTAGTATGGTAAATTCAGTATAATCATAGATTTATTTTTAATAATAACATCTATTGAAATTTAAAAATGTATAGAAACGTAATACAAATTAAGGAAAATACAAAGTATAATTTGAAAGAACAGAAAGGTATGAAAATGGATACTCAATGACACTGATGTCATTTACATTTAATTTATTTATATTTTCTGTAATCTCTTTAACTTTCATTTATTTTTCTTTGTATTTCTTACTTTTTCCCTGCACTTTCTATTTTGAAAAGGAATAGTGAATATTATATAATGATATAATTAAAATATGCAATAAATTAACTGAATCACTAAAAGCATGCAGGGTTTAAAATTAGGATCCCTAGTGTGGCATCTAAGAATGCCAATGCCAATGTACTCATGTCGCATCTCTCTTGGTAATCACAAATATCCTTGTCCCACCTTTTACTGTATCTTTAAAAATAAAAAAGATGGGCATTTTCAGCCCAATGTTTTGAAAATATATCTAGTTAGTAAAAAAAAATGTCAAAAATAAGGAGAATTCGGTTAGAGGAGATAGCAGACAGTGGTCTGATGCTTTGCAAATAAGAAAATCTCCAGAAAATACAGCAATTTTGTACATGTCCCCATTTCAAAATTCCAAATAGACTGGGTATCTTTTAGTTTATTAGAATATTTAGTCTACTTATATACCCTAATGCAAAGACTGTGAATTTCCTTTGTTTACCAAATGTACGCATGAATTCCACTCTTTATATTGGTTTCAGGGCTATAGTTTTTAGCAAGATTATCAGAAGTATGGAAAACATTCCTATAAAGACGGGCTAAAGCAGGGGTATCAAACTTAATTTCATTGAGGGCCACATCAGCATTGCTGTTGCCCTCGGGGGGGGTGGCCAGGGTGGGTGCGGCCTATTGGATGGGCATGGCCAGCTCTACAGATCTGGGACAGATCTGAGGCAGAAGGGGGTGGGACCGAGGCAAGCGCCAAGGCATGGTCCATTTCTTCATTCCTCACAAAGGGTGACTTTTCCCCAACATGCACCCAGGGGGTGGGGCCAATGCGGCAAGGGCTGGTTCTTCACTGTTTCTAGACGGCCTTGTGGAGCTAAGACTGAATGTGTTTCAGCATAGATGGCCACCACAAAATTGTACATTGGCTCTCGGCTGGCCTGGGCCAGGACCAAGGCAGCGGGGGCCGTTCCCTGTTTCCAGGATGGCTTCGCGGGCCACATGAAACCACTTTGCGGGCCGCATCCGGCTCCCAGGCCTTGTGTTTGACATGTCTGGGCTAAAGGAACAAGATATATTTATTACAGGGGAAAAAGGACTCATAGGTATCATATACATTTCATTTATATGAACTGTTGCACAGTGAAAATGGAAAAGCTTGATTCTAGACGGCAAAATTAAACATATTGTTTTACAGGACCATAGATTTTGGTTGACCACTAGGAGAAGTGTGACAAAAATAGTATGAACTGAAGCTATCATCACAAAAATTATGGCCCCTTTCTCACTGCAGATATTCAATTAGAAACTGGTGAGTAGATAGAGTTGCTTTATTTCTAGATTTCTTGCACTTTATGCAGGGCTGCTAAATGGATTTGAAGGTTCTTTTCAAATCTACATTTATATGATCAGAAGGTTACTTATAACAGGGCTTTTCAACCGTTTCACCCATTGTACCCCTTTTAGGATATGGCAACATCCGAATACCACCAGTCGCCTAGCAAGGTGTCAAAAACTTGATGACCCCGCCCAAAAAAGGAAAAAAGTGATAAAGTACTGGTAGTCCTCGATTTACAACAGTTTGCTTAGTGACTGTTCGAAGTTACAATGGCACTGAATAAAGTGCCCCCCAAATCACAGCCGAGCAAGACAGCGCCCAGCGGTGCTCTTCCTCCTGTCCGAGGTTTTCATTGTTGTGACCATTTCTGTTGAGGATTGGCAGCGGGGGTGGAGTGGGGGTGTTTGATTTTTATTCCCCCCATCTGCTGGGTGGTTGAAGCAGGTTTTGGTCACTTCACATGACCCTGGGACACTGTGACCGTCATAAATCTGAATCAGTTGCCAAGCATCTGAATGTAAATCACAAGACCCTGGAGATGTTGCAACATTCCAGCTGATCGGTGCTTCTTCTGGGCTCAGCAGAGGCGCCAGGATCAGCGCCGAGGTCCAGCTGATTGGCGCTTCTTCTGGGCTCAGCAGAAGCACCAGGATCAGCACTGAGCTCCACCTGGAGCCTGGTGCTGATCCTGGCGCTTCCACTGAGCCCTGACAGCCCTGAAGAAGCGCTGATCAGTTGGAAAGCAGTACTGATCCTGGCGCTTCCGCTGAGCCCTGACAGCCCTGCAGCTCCAGCCATCTCTTGCTCAGGCTTGTGCGGTGCTGCCACCGGTTCAGCTCATTCCCCTCCTCTGCTACCACTTTTCTAGGATGGTCGCGTACCACCTGCCAGTTGCCAATGTACCACAGGTGGTACCCATACCACTGGCTGAAAAGCCCTGACTTATAAGGTCATCCTATAAGAATGGTTGTGTCAAATAAACTGTATAGGTAATAATTTGAAATAAATTCAGTTAAAAGTAATATTAAGATACACCTGACCGACTTACCTCTCTATTATTTCCATATCAAAACAAAATCGCCTATCTATAGAATCAGTATTCCGTTTGGTACAGTTCTGAAGTTCATAGACTTCCAATTCACCCTGAAATAAATTAATTACATGAATATGATGACAGAGACTATTACTAAAAATGCCAGGAAAAATGTGATTAATAACATAAGTTTAATTGTTGTTATTGTTGATATATATTTTTTAGAATGAAAGCATCCATCAATATTGTAGAATTTTTGGAACTGAATATAATGCATGCCTAGAATTCACTATATCATCAAATGAATTTCTCAGGAGTAACAGAATATTTTACTGAGTAACAGATGGGATTAGAAAATCTTCCTCTTCATCATCATTTTGGCTGACACTCAAGTTAAATTGACTGATTTAGGATATTGGGCATAGAAGAGGAAGAATCCTGTTACCAAAAGTTCAATAAAAATCACTCTGCCTTGATTGCTACCAATACAGTAGCCAATACAATGAGCCGTGGTGCCCCAGTGGTTAGAATGTAGTATTGAAGACTAATTCAGCTCACTGCCAGGAGTTCGAGTCAGCTCAAGGTTGACTCAGTCTTCCATCCTTCCGAGGTCAATAAAATAAGGACCCAGACTGTTGGGAAAAATATGCTGACTCTGTAAACTGCTTAGAAGCAGTATATAAGTCTAAGTGCTATTGCTATTGCTATACTGATAATTTGGAAATGACATGGGGAAGATGAATATTGTAAGAAAACTGAAATGTTGCAGATTCTGGAATATTCAAACAGTTATCAAAGAGTTTCTTAACTTGAAAACTACTAATATGAACAGGTTTCCTGGAAAAAGACATACTGTGCAAAAGTACTGTATATTTGAATAAATATATCGAATGTAATAAGAGCTGGTCAATGGAATGTAATTTCTGTGCCTTACTAGGAAGTAATTCAAATAAGCTTCCAAATATATTTATATTAATGAATTACTATGGATAAAATATGGGTATTTTGTTAAAGCTCTCCAAAATTCCATTTCAGATCCCTCCAAACTTATTATTTGTAATTCCCAATATTGTATCTAACTATACTTAAAAGAAAATGTCAAAAACACAGAGAAGCAATACAGAACATACTTTATCTCTTTTACTGTTCTTTTAATATGAAATATACTCACACTTTTTCCTCCTGCTCTGTGTTCAAATGGTAACATAGTAAACTTCTTTGACTCCTTCTTATACATGCAATAATGTTTTATCCAACTGGAACCAAATGGTGCAGGTCCTTCATAAAACAATAATAATTAAAACTTCAAATTGTTAGATATATAAAGACGTTTTTCCATTCAGCCTATTTTTCAGATTATTACATATTGAATCAAAGTTCTTTTTAAAAACAAATAAATAAATCCAATATATGCATTCTTGTTAACAGAATCGCAAAAGCAATAGAAAACGTAAAATTATTACAGGTAATCCTCAAGTTACGAATGTAATGGAGCCTGCCCATTCCATTCGTAACTCAAGAATTCATGGGAGTGACTCTCATACCTTGAACGAGTTCACTTCCCTCTTCCTCCCTGCCACGCCGGACTCACTTACCTTGAAAAGATCAGTCTACTCTCTGCCGCGGCTTCTGCCTTTGTGGGAGAGTCAATGGAAGCTCCTGGGGGCCAGTACTATCGCGTGAGTTCAGGCACCCATCCTCTTTTCCAGAGAATGGGAGCCTGAATTCAGTGTTTGCAGTGACTATCTCCTGCTCCTGCCCCCAACTCCTTTCCACCACTGCCAGAACAATTTTCATCAGGACAGAGACCTTGGAGACACTTGAAACTCCATCTGCATGCAAATGAGCGCTTAGAAATGGAGTGAAACGCTCCATTTCTCAAGCACCCTACTGGTAGCCACAAGGAGCTTCCAGTCTCTGTCAGGTCTCTGTCCGGGTAAAAAGAGTTTGAGTGCATATGGGGTGTTTGGAATTTGCTTCATTTGCTTCATTTTAAAATGGCCCATAGTCGTTGAAACACCTTTTCTCCGAACTGAGACTTGACAGAGACTGCAAGCTCCACATGGCTGACATCGCGCACTTAGAAACGGAGCAGAAGGCTCCATTTCTCAAGCGCCACATTCCAGGCATACGGAGCTTGCAGTCTCTATCAGGTCTCCATTCGGTTAAAAAGTGTTTCAGGACCAATGGAGAGCTTCAAAACGCAGCCAATCCCTGCATTTTGAAGTGCTCCATAGGTGCTGAAACACTTTTTATCTGACTGGAGACCTGACAAGGACTAGAAGCTCCGTGTGGCTGCCAATGTGCACTTAGAAACAGAGCGGAAGGTCCTATTCCAGGCATACGGAGCTTGCAGTCTCTGTCAGGTCTCCATTTGGTTAAAAAGTGTTTCAGTGCCTATGGAGCGCTTCAAAACCTAAGCCACTGGTGGCGGCAGCCACCTGAGTGCCCATGATCTCCCCTCCCCAGCCAGCCCTCACCCCACCCGACCTACTCATTGCCTGGCATGCCATCTCGTACAAATCCTGACCGCTCTTCTCCTTGTCATCCTCCCCACTGAAGCGGCCGCAGCGGCTTGTTTCTCGGCTCTGAGTAGAAAAAAGCAGAAGCGCAGCAGTGAGATGGCTCTCAATAAGGCCGGCACACACGAGTGAGCAGCGCACCTGGGTCTTCTTGAGAGCAATCCTGCTGCTGTGTCTCCATTCTCTTCATTTCAGACAGAGCCAAGAAACTCCGCTTGAATGGGGAGGACAACAAGGAGAAGAGTGGTCAGGATTTGGGCCAGCCAGCCAGTCAGAAAAGGAGTAGGTTGGGCAGGGTGGCTGGCTGGCTGGGGAGGGAGGATCATGGCCACTCAGGTGGCTGCCACTGCCACTGGCTTGGATACAGGTGCAAGGGGCCTGGCTCCGCGATGCCGTCCCACTCAATTGAAGGCTTCATTTCTGCCCTCAAACTAAGGCCAGCACACGCAAGCGAGCGGCACACCCAGGCAACGGATAGTATTGGTTCCTGCGTCCGACTGACTCTGACTCCACACTTTGCCCCAGAGGAGTGCAAATGAAGCATACAATCCCCCCAAGAATGGAAGCTTCTGGGGGCCATGATGTCTTTTGCAGAGAGTTTATGTTCAAACTCACGCAAAATTATGGCACCCAGGAGCTTCCACTGTTGGCGCAAAAAGCATTTCCAAGCCAATGCGCCTCTCCCTCAAAGGGAAAGAAACTGCGGCAGAGAGGAGGCATATTTTGCAAGATGAGTATATCTGCTGCAGCAGGGAAGGAGGGGGAAGCAGTTGTGGGGAGTGGGGGGGGGGAATAGCGTGAATGTTGCAGAGCCTCAGCAGTCATTCATAAGGGTGAACTGCCATGGTGCTACAATATTTGTGATTTTGGGACTTGATCATAAACACTAGGGGGCGCTTGTTATGTAACTTTGAACAAGCGTTAAGTGAACGCTCGTAATTTGGAGATTACCTGCATAAGAACATTGAAAATAGAGCAAATGTAGCGAACTGAAATTAAAAGAGAAAAAAACTCTATACAGGTAATTCTCATTTAACTACCACAATTAGAACTAGCAACACCATTATAAATTATGAGGGCGTTAAGCAAAACATCATATGACCATGAAAGACTTATGATCTCACTTCTTCTGCAGTTGTTAAGCAAATCACACATGGTCATAAACTGAGACTGCAACTTGTGATTTTACTGCCAGCTCCACTGATTGTGCTTATCGGAAGGTGATTGTGAAGTATGCAAATGGAAAGCACATGACTGTGGGTGCTGCGACAGTTGTAAACACCCACTGGTTGCAAAGCACCCAAATTTCAATCACATAATCACAGGAATGCTGCAATGATTGTAAATAAAAAGATCAGTCATAAAGTTAATTTTTCAGATGTCTTAACTTTAACTCACTAAGCAGAATAGTCATTAAACAAGCCTTACCTGTGATAAAAAACATTGCTAAACAGCCTGAATACATGTTTACAAATTCTTACCATGAAATGAAAGAAATAGCTTACTTTTTTCCTGCACATAAAGATAACCCTCCATTGCAAATTGATTTGCTCTTTTGTGTTTTTTGGGATTTTGCTTGATTTTGTTCATGAGGTCTTCCACTTCTGATCTTGTTCCCTCAAAACGACTTCTTGTCTGCAAGAAAAGATTTTAAAACTTACAACAGAAAACCACAAACGATTCTAGAAAAAAATATCAAAACTAACAATCTTCTGGTATTTAATATCTCTTTGTCAATTGTATATGGTTACAAACATATTTTTTTTTTCCAATTTTTTATTAATTTTCAAATAAACAGATAAATTACAAATATGGTATACATTAATAAACAAAAGAAACCCCCCCCCGCCATATTATATATCTATTCAGAGATGCTCAGCAGCCCCCCCGCCTGCGTCCACCCTCTCTTTCACCCTTCCTACCTACCTACTTCCCTCCTCCTCTCTTCTACCTACACCTCTCTCCTCCTTCCTCCTCTCAACTACCCTACACATCCCACCTCCTTCTTTTCCTCATCCTTCGGACGCAGTTTGGGGGGGACGCAGTTTGGGGGGAACATATTAAATACTGTTTCCCAGATAACAGAAACATGGAAGATTACAACTCTTCCAAGGTGTTCCTCTGGTTGCTGAAACTTACTGACTGGAGATGGTAGGAAACTATCTGGCTTTGTGTATGTTATCTTTTGCCTTAATTCCTGGAGATTGCATTTTTAAAATTTCATTTATATACCACTTCTATTATTTTTATAAATAACTCAATGTGGGGAACATTAATATTACTTCCTCCTCCTATTTTCCCCACACTAACAACCTTGTGAGATGAGTTGAGCTGAGAGAAAGTGACTGGCCCAAGATCACCCAGCAAGCCTTCATGCCTAATGAAGTTCATTTAAGGTTCTTTTTGACAACATTTTTGGAATTGGTTTTCCTTTGCCTTTTTCCTAGGGCTGACAAGCAATGACTAGACCAAAGTCATCCAACTAACTGAAATGAACTGAAGTTCATGAACTGAAGAAGCTTCTTGGATGAGAAGTGAAATGCTTTCAAAGAAAAAAAACCAAGAAAGTCCAGCTCCCTTTTGGTAAAGCACTTTTGGGACAACTATGACGTGGATGGATGAGAACCTCCATAGACATTCAAAGTGGATGATATGCATTTTGAAGACATCATTGTGTCTAATCCACATACGAAAGCCTGTCCAATTGGTAACAGTGTTACCCCTAATTCTTTCTGAATTTGGATTATTATACAAATAATTAATAATTTACATTAACTTAACTTAAACATATAATACAATGTTATGAAATAAGACAATAGAAGACAATACAATATAATATATAAAAGTTATCTTAATATTTGAGTTTGCAATGACTGTTAAGCGCTGTAGTTTTGATTTCATACTAAAACATGAACATAAGCATCATAGATAATTGCTTATAATACCACAATCTTCTATACAGACAATTAATTTTTCAGTTTATATTACAATTTCCAATTAATTTGATAACAATGTCCAATATATGGAACTCTCAACAAAATTATTTTATATATATTTCAACATTTAAAAATAATGCAACATACTTTTCTCTGTTAAACATTAATAGAGAAAATAAATTCATTTTTATTTTCAATTATTAAGTTATATACAAAATCTGCAGAAATATTAATTTGGTTACTGCATAAAGGCTTAACAAGTCATGTAGCATATTAGCCTGCAGATGGCATTACATTTCCATAGTTTTGTAGAATATCATCATGCATTACAGAAATACAAAACTGGAATGGCAGGGTCAGAGTTACAGATGGACATATCTTACAATCAAAGGATGGCTTCACTTACATTCTGGATATTGATCTGCAGATCCATTTTGTAATGGTTAAAATCTTTGGCAAGTTCATAGCCTTGATGGTAGAAAGTGAACATGCCCTGAAAAAATGACAGGACCTAAAACACAGTAAGATTTCTTTTTAGCTTAGATGGCAAAGGAATAATTTCTTTTTACTTTCCTCTTAGCATTGTTTTAAATAAATTAGGTTCTACGTTTAGTGGGACTTTATGGCATAATACAGAATTCCACTGTGGAATAACTATCTGTAAATTCATAATTCACAGCATACTGTGATTAAGTATAAATTCAGTAAAATAGCAAAAGGACATACCGTATATACTCGAGTATAAGCCGAGTTTTTCAGCACATTTTTTGTGCTGAAAAATGCCCCCTTCGGCTTATACTCGAGTCAGCGTCTCGAGAACTGAGGAAAGAGAGTACCGTAGTTCTTTTTGGGGGAGGGAGGGAGGGAAGTCTCTTGCTCAGCCGCTTGCTTGACTTGCAGCCGATTTCCGGGGAAAGCCTCTTTACAGCAGGCTGCCTTTGGGAAGCGCTGCCTCCTTCCATTCATCTCTTTGCTGCTGGAGAAATTTGCAATTGCCCGTGCGAGAGGCAGACGACAAGGAGAGCGGAGTAGCTGCCTCATTTCCCACCCTAGGCTTATACTCGAGTCAATATTTTTTCCCAGTTCTTTGTGGTAAAATTAGGTGCCTCAGCTTATATTCGGGTCGGCTTATACTCGAGTATATACGGGTATACAGCACAATGCAAATGGTTATATTTGTTTCTAAATCAACTTTTACTTGTTTTCTATTGTAAAATTTATTTTCTTTCAGATATGTTTTTAATATTCTACTTACAGGTTCCACAAACTCAAATTTCTTTCTTTCTTGTATCTCTTGCAGTTTACACACATAGACAAGTAACAGTTCATAGAAATGTTTTCTGTTTTGCTCAATTTGGTTATCTGCCTGCATAAAAAAAATATAGGTTTGCTTTTTTTAAGATTCAGAGATTCTATACAGAAATATATTGTATCAAGTATCTCAATCTAACACAGAATCATTAACTGCACTAATTTAAATGTAATTATACACACCAAGCTCTATGGTCAAATGATTTCATGTTAAAATTCTCCTCATGTCTCAGAATTAATTCCAAGTGTTTATATAATAACTTTCTTTTAATAAATGTATTAGAGTAAATGGGGTAGGGGGAATTGACAAATTAACAGACAGGAAAGTTAGACTTAAACTATTTTTGTTTTCCTCAACGAATTAGACCAAATAACTGTAAAGCATTGAAACAGTTTATTAAAAGAGGCACAATTTCCACCAAAAAAAAAAAGGATTATCAGGAGATGTAAGCCCTCAGATTTCATTTTATTAAAATTAAAATGTATAACCTGCATTCACACAATAAATTTTAATGACTGACACATAAGCAAAAACAGCAATCTAATGTACTTGCATTTGGATTATGTAAAATACATATATAATCTAAGCACTGGTAGGTGTCAGGTGCAAGAAACCAGTAACAGAAGTAGAGTTCAAAGCACTAAAAGTTTATTTTATGCTACCTATACACAAGAATCTGATCTAGTTAACAGTCCAGCCAAATTGGCACTAGATAAGAGTTAATGGAATTCATGAGGAGGCTGGACTTAGATCTCTTCTGGGAAGTAATGACTCCAAACTGATAGTGCATTTGACCCCAGCATGGATTCTGCCTCGTCATCTTCTATATTAGGCACTTTACTGCAAATTAATTGTGTTTATTATGTATAAAACAAATAATATTTATCATTGATAGAAAGTCTCAGATTCCAGCTATTCGTTCCCTGCTCCCAACCCAGAATAGAAAAATAGCTACTAGCAACTTATCTACAAAAGAATTATTATTGCAAATGTTTACAACAGATAGAAGTTTGACAATGTAGTATAAATGATACCTCCAATATTTGTAATTCTTTCTTTTTAGCTGACATATTTAAATGTTTCTCCAATGAACTGTAGTTCTTTTCTGTTTCTTTATCAAACCTCTTTTTTTCTTCCTAAAACATTTTAAATGGAAAGATGAAAGAAATATTATATCATTTATACATGAAATACATAAACTTTGTAAATTGTTTGGTTTTTGTCCTTTCTAACATCACAAATGTATTATTATAGATACATGTTTTTGTAAAAATGAAGAATTTTAATTTACAATTTGTAACAAAGCTACTATATCCAATTTTGGTATACATTGTTTTTGTTCAATAAAATAGAAAACACAACAGCACACACAGAGGCTATACATTTTTTGAAATCACCTCATAGGCCTTGGTTAATAGATGGAAGAGTCTTGGCAAGTTTGTAAACATTTCTGAATGGAAAAGCAAAAATGCAGAGCTATGGTCGTGGAGTGGTTAGAATGCAGGCTAATTCTACCCACAGCCAGGAGTTTGATCCTGATCGCTCAAGGTTGACTCTGCCTTGCATTCTTTCGAGATCAGAAAAATGAGGACCCAGATTGTTGGAGCCAATATGCTTACTCTGTAAAACTGCTCAGAGAATGTTGTAAAGCACTGTGGAGCAGTATATAAGTCTAAGTGTTACTGCTGTTGCTATATACAAGTATACAAAATCTTTTGTTAAATGTTAACGGATCTTAATGCACACGTAAAGTACTGAAGAAACGATCATCTAGTCCTACTTAAGTTACATTTTTACCATTTTGTTTGCAAAACAAAACAGATAAAATGGAAAATAAGCTATAAATACAAAAGTTATTGACAAACCTTTACTGCTCCAAGTTGTTCTTTTCTGAATTTTTCCAGAGGCTTGATGAGAGTTTCAGTTACACTTAGGGCCTTTCAAGAAGAAGAAAATAAATACAAGTATGATTATTCCACAGTAGGAAGAAAACATTATACTGACAGTGTTTTCCAAATGAAAATAGCATGTTTTTTTTTTAAAAAAAAATCCACATTAATTTCTATTAATAAACTATCATTGTCACAAGAAAAACAGTATACATGTATGTAAATTATTCTATTAATTGTAAATTTTTCTCTCCTGGAAATATGACGGATTTCAAATAGCTTCGGCTAGGATATACATTCCTATGTTCTAATAACTTTTTTTAGACAATAATGTTTTTAGAGTATATATCCAAGTACATCAGAATATATTTTGCTTACTTAATTATAATGAAGCACAACTTCTTTGTAGCCACACCTCTGGAATGACATTTCCCGCAAGATCCAGATGGTCTCCACTCTTTAGAAGAGCCACAAGACCTGGCTTTTCATCCAAGTCTTTGTTTCATGCAGTTGCCATCTTGTATCTCTATCTTTTATGTATTATTAATTTATTGTAATTCATTGCTTGATCGTTGTGAGGCACCAAAGGTATTAAGTTAGATGGCATACAAGTTTAATAAATTATGGTTGGTTACACAATCAGCCAGATGTTTAGACTGAACTGGCATTTTTATTCACCTATTGAGTCCTTCCCAAGAACCTGGGATAGGCAGATGGTGTTAAAAGTATTGCCATAGGATGTAAACTGTTCCATATATAGATGCCTTTTGCAGTTGAGTGATGGTGATTTTACCAATACTGAAACTGTTCAAGTGGTGTTCCAGATGTTTTGAGATTGCAGCCAAGGCATCTAGCATTATTGGTACTATCTTTGCTTTCTTTTAACACAGTCACTCTTCTGCTATTGATAGGTCTTTGAATTTTGTATCTTCTGTTCTATTCTGCTATTCCACTGCAACATCCACTATCCAGACTTTATTGCCTGTCTTATTGACAATTGTTAAGTTTGGGGGGTGATGATGATGATGATGGTAAAGATTAGGCAAAATTTTTCCTCTCTATAGTTAAATATAAAAAGCCTTGCTCACACTTAGAGAGCTATGTAACAGATTTAATGAATGAAAGTAAACATTCACATCGTTGAGGTAGATTTTATTATTGTCTAAAGGATTCTGTAGCACTTGGAAATAGATTTAGAGTTTCTGCTTTGAAGATGAACCTTGCCCCAGTTTTTTTTTACAACTGGTTATACTGTAGATTTCTTTCTAAATGTTTTTAGGAAGATTATTGTCACAATTCTATGCAAGTCTAAAAAGAAAAGTGTCTCTCAAGTTTAGCTCATCTCAGTGACCAAACAAAAATAGCCAAGATTTGGTGGGAGGGGAAGGTTACAACACATATAAGTAATCTGCCACTACTTTCTTCTGGGAATATTTTCCCCCAAATTCCCTGTTAGTCATCAGCCTGATCCTGCTTAGTTTTTCTGAGAAATGCCAAATGCTGAGAGTAAGAAGCAAACTTTTGCATGTGGATTACTTTTATCTAAATCCGTATAGCAGCAATTACACCTTCCCAGTTGCTTGGAATATTACAAAATGAAAACTGGAGAGAAAGGATTCCTCCATATAATTTATCAAGCAATTCGTGATCTTACAAAAGTACTTATTTGCGTTGGAAGAGTTCAGCTCAAAACAAAATTTCTTCCTTAGTTCCAAGTTGTGTATAAAAATATTTTCCAAGCATTTGGGTGTATATGTTTGCATAAGAGAGACGTCTTTCTCAGGAATCACACATCAAGAATTCCTGAAATGAAACAGCAGCTTTGGACTGAAAGAAACTCCCACTGAATCACCTGTCATCTTACTAAAACTTATTTTAAATGATGCAGTGAACTGCTAAAAATATTGTCAGTAATGAGAAAATGCATAATGAACTTCTGATGTGCACTTTCTGTATATTCTCAAAGGAAAAAGGTTAGTAGATGAGTCCAACATTCCAAGTTAGATTAGATTAGGACAGTGGTGGCGAACCTATGGCACGGGTGCCAGAGGCGGCACTCAGAGCCCTCTCTGTGGGCACGTGCGCTGTCGCCCCAGTCCTAGGCCTTCAGCTGGGTTTTATAAAATGTTTTTGCTTTAGGCCATGTGCAAAAAAAAAGAGGTTCAATCAATCTATCAATTTCAACCTCGCGGGGGAAAAAAAGATCTTGCAAAGTTGGAATTGATTGATTGAACTTTTTAGTCCCACCCACCAGTCTGCTGTTACCACCATGGTCACACCCACCCAATGAGCCACACCCACCCAATGGGCCACACCCACCCAATGAGCCACACCCACCCAATGAGCCACACCCACCCAATGAGCCACACCCACCCAATGAGCCACACCCACCCGGCACCCAACGATGCATAAGTGGGTTTTGGGTTGCAGTTTGGGCACTCGGTCTCTAAAAGGTTCGCCATCACTGGATTAGGAAGACACCAATTTGCAAGGATTATCTGCTTCAAAATTTCTTCAAACATTTTCATTGCTTGGATAGGGGGCTATAGAAACCAACACAAGAGAAAGGACTGGCTATACTGTAGAATGATAGGAACAGTAATCTCAGACATGGAGATGATATTGACTGGGGAATCTCTGGCTAAATGTGTAAAACCTACTACCAATGATACTTACTGAGCCCTAAAGAAATCTACATGATCTGGGTTCAAAAAATGCAGAGACCCTGATATTCCCTGGAGTTAAATCCTTCTTGGTTTCTAAATGCAGGCAACCTTGGCTGAGTACTGTTATATGTTGAAACTTTTAGAGGAATTAGGTTAAATTAAAAGATTTTCTTCAAGAGGTTCAAATGGATATATAAGAAACTTTTGGAGTTTGAAAACTAATGAGAAATATGCAGATGACAGAGCTGACAGATTACATACTGCTATATTTTATTAAATAGAAACAAAATTAGAATGCAACCACACTTTTGCATGTGACATTTTAAAAAAGAACTCACCATTATTTCTCTTTGTTCTTCTAAATTTTTCAGAAAGTTAGAGAATTCATGAAGGGATGCATCTGTAACATGAATAAATATAAACATATATATATAAATAAATATCAGACACTATGTAGCAAATAAAATATAAAAAAATAAAATTTTAGATTTATATAGACACTCCTCAAGTTACAACCATAATGAAGCCTGGATTTTCTGTTATAAGTCATGACATTCATAAGTCAAGGCACCAAGTGTCTAGACCTGATTTTATTATTTCTTTTGCAGTGCTTGTTAAGCAAATGCCAAGGTTGTTAAACAAATCCATATGTTTCTATGGATGTTTTTTTGCTGGAAATCAGCTAAGAAGACCAGAAATTAACCAAAAAACATTGTAAATCATGGTCATGTGACCACTCTGTGTGTGCGCGTGTGCTCTGTGTGTGTGTCCATTGGAACTCTGGAACCAGGTCATAAATAGCTTTGGGGGGATCCATTTCAAAAGGCTGCTAAGCGATTGGTTGTTAAACAAGGGTGACTTGTATTAATTTTCTTATACTGACATACCTATGCATCTTTCATCATCTGTTTCAGCCTCACCAATACATTCAAACCTGAAATCCCTCAGTGAACGAGCAAATTTTCTTTGGGCAGATGAAAGATCTAAACGGAAAAAAGAAAGAAAATGAGTGATAGCGCTTTTCAATTCAATAAAAGAACCTTAATATATAATTAAGGTACAACAAAAAATATAAATTTTAACTCTTCATTATTTAAAGGACTTCCTATGGTACTAAATAAATAAATTTATGGTATTATAATCTTGCATATAAGTGTGAGAGAGAGAAAGTAAGTGAGAGAAAAACTTTTAGCATTGTTATTTTACTATTCACTAACTTTTGCAGCTCTCTGGACATAATATAGACCTTAATTTATACTTAACATGTGTATTCAATAATCCATATAAGTTCCATCATAACTGGAACAGAAATTTTAGTTGTGATAAAGTTTATGTGATTGTATATGAATTAGAGAGCAAATGTGGTGTAGAGGTCAAGGCATCAGGCAAGAAACCAGAAGACCATGAATTCTAGTCCCACCTTAGGCACAAAGCCAGCCGGATGACCTTGGGCTAGTCACTTTCTCTTAGACTTAGGAAGCAGGCAATGCACTTCTGAAAAACCTTGCCAAGAAAACTGCAAGGACTTGTCAAGGCAATCTCTGAGAATTGAACATGACTGAATGGGAAAAAATGCATTAATAAAATACATTTAAAAATCCCTTCTATTGACTAAAAGCATCATTTGTAACTATCTGGTGATACTATGAATTCAGTTTGGCTATATTAAGAACTTGTGCATTACTTCCCCCATAAATTGTTCTCTGGCTCAGAATCACATGTATTTAATATTCACAATTCATCAGAGGTCAGCTGCTCAGAAGGCACACATCAAGTGAAACTATATGAAGTATCCTTAAGTAAGTATATCCCATAGTGTATGTACAAACCACAGCTGTGTTAAATGCCATTTGAGAATGAATATTTCTTTAAAATGGTGGGGCTAGAGAATGAATATTTCTCTCTATGTCAGGGGTTCCCAACCAGGGGTGCGAGATGGTATTCCAGGAAGTGCAAAAACTTGGGTTTTCAAAATTATAGTGTATATGCATAATTTGTTGCCGTTATTTTGAACTTTTGTAAGGGGTGCGAGAATATATCAGAAGCATTCTAGGGGTGCGGGGTATAGAAAAGGTTGGGAACCACTGCTCTATGTAGTGGCTTGCTCTGTCAATGTTGGTAGGAGTGATCTTGGTGGTTCCTTGATCCCAAACAAGGGACCACCACAACCACTCCCACTAATATTGATAGGCCAAACTACTAGTATATAGAATGAGAACAATCTCCACTCCCTTCTAGCATTGATAATGTTATCTAGTTTGGTAATTAAACATATGCAAGAAAACAACCAAGCTCAAAGAACACCAAAGCCCCACAGTTCAACCCTGAGCAATAAATATTCTCTTCTGTCGATAGTACCTAATTATATTTGTAGTACACAGTCTCAGTAGATTAGGCACTGAGTCTTATGATACTTTATAAAAAAAAATGCAGCCAGTTGCAGCTGCCAGGTGAAAGCTGCAACAGCCATATAACACTAGGGGTTTTTTGAGTGCTGCATTGGTTTATAGTAAAGCTTTTGGTGCAAATCAGAAAAGCCCCAAGAACACTTGAGGATTGCCTCTTCCATACAAAACCAATCTCTGTTCCACCATCATTGTAAGCCGGGAAGTTAAAGGTTCCTCACAAATGTCGGGTGAGAGAGCAATTCAGCACTAGAGGTTTTCATTGATAGCCCCCTCCTTTGGAACAGCCTTGAAAAGGTCATGGAACTAGGGCAGAGGTCCCCAACCTTTTAGGCATCAGAGACTGGTTCCGTGGAGAGAGGTTTTTCCACAGACCGAAGGGTGCATGGTTTTGTGTGCTGCCTGCATCTTGCGGATGGGGCTTTGCTTGCTTGTGCGGACTGGTTGCTGGCATGCCGCGGCCTGGTACTGGTCCACAGACTGGGGGTTGGGGACCCCTGAACTAGGGCTTTAAGGTGTAATTACTGCTGCTACCTAAATTGGAGCAATAATCAATGTTTATGTGCTATTATTGTTTTTTTTTTGTTGTTGTTTTATTTGCTATTTTTATCCACATTCAATTTATTGAAAATCAATATGCTTTAGCAGTATACATTGGTTAGTTTGTTTTTAAATTTATCTAGCTGTCCACCTCACAGATGTGACACTCAGCTAACAAAGTTAAAATACAAAATGCAATATAAAAGTAAAACCACGATTATAGAACAAAAACCATTAAAACATACTAAAGCAATAAAAACTACTAAAAACATAAAAATATAATCTGTGAGGATACAATCTAATTTACTAACAATATAACCATTTAGCAGGCTCTACACAACCACTATCAGATATTTATAACAAAAACAGTTAATAAAAACAAATTGATTTTTATGCAAGGAATGTCATTTAATTCTTTTGTTTACACATGCATACACGCACGCGCGCACGCACACACACACACACAAGCATTCTAATGCTGTGTTCTGAATTAACAGGACAACTGAAATTATCTTGCCTTTTAAATATTGTTGTTTTAACAATTATATAACTGTCAAAAAGATTATATGTAGGAAGATATATTAACATATACAAGCTGTGCCAAGTATTTTATGTAATTTAATAGAATGTTTAAATTAGAGTTGAACTTGTTGAAACACTGTATCTCAATAAGCAGGTTTTTTTTCATAAACGGCAAGATTCCTAAGATTCTGCCACATTATTATACACAGGCTTAAATTCCATGCTGCCATGGCAATCACACCCATACAGATTTTTTGCCTACTTAAAACAATTGATGTTTATTATAATTGGAACTCATGAAATTTAAATTCCATAAAGGAAATAGTGTAAAATATTGCACATTTTTAATATTAATATTTCTTCCTCTTATTGTAGAATTTTAACTACTATTGTGGTGTATGTAAATAACGAGATGGAATAAGATTTATAGGCAAAAATGCTAAATATTTATTAAAGAAAAAATAATTTCTGAATTGCAACAAGTTTCACAGCAACTAGTTATTTAGATCAGAGGTCCCCAACCTTTTCGGCACCAGGGACCGATTCCATGGAGAGAGGTTTTTCTGCGGACCAGAGGGGGCGTGGTTTTGTGTGCTGCCTGCATCCCACGGATGGGGCTTTGCTTGTTTGTGCGGACTGGTTGATGGCATGCTGTGGCCTGGTACAGGTCCATGGACCGGGGGTTAGGGACCTGATTTAGATCAGTTCAAGAACTCCAGTGAAGGAGAGCCCTCACATCATGATGAAATCTTTTCCATTATAATTAACCATAATCTACTATATAATTTCACCTAATTTTTGTACCAACTTCTAGAAAAATTGGAGCAATTTTGTACCATTTTCAATATGGTACATGCAATCTTTTCTTCTCCAGGCTAAATATTGCCTTCAACCATTCCTCCTAAGTGTCTTTTTTCCAGATTCCCAATCATTCTAATTGTTCAATAAGACAGGAAACCTTTTCTTTAGGAAAAAAAAGTACTTTCAAAAATCTCTTGCTTTGATCTAATGCAAGGGTAGGCCGCCTAGCATTAATGGTAATATCTTTTTTGAAACAATACAGTAGTGACTAAACTGGCCCTTTCACTTTTCAAAAAAAAATCTTTTCAATCTACTTTTCTTGGTACTTTTCCTTTATGTACTAGCCAGATCAAATCTTTCTTAGCTTTTCAAGATCAATAAAGTTAGCTGCCTCTTCTGTTGTAGATTAAAATTATCTTGAGTTCTATTGCAGGTAACTATTTGGTGACATTCATACAGTTTTCTTGGCATAATATATAGAAGTACTTTGTTATTATGATTTCCATATTTTGAGTCTTTCCTAGAGTTGTTTATTCCAGTACGAACTAGCTCAAACCAGTTTAGCTTCTGAAATCACATAAAGCTGGCCAGACTACTGCCACAGGCAGAAAACTAAAAACTGGAATAATTACATATCCTAGCTAGTATGCTTTAAAAGAAACTGTCCCCAAAACATGTAGAGAGCAATAACGAGACTATACCACATGTAAAATATTTGGCACTACCAATGAAACCAGAAGAAGCCACTTCTAATGATGGGCATGTTTACATTCTATAGGCGCTAAATCAAATCATTTTCTCCTAGAAGATATTTTGAGGCTCATAAGAAAGCTGGATCTACCAATGAAACCAGAAGAAGTTAAGTTCCCAATTTATTTATTATATTTATATACTAGTTTTAGTATAATACCATATAATGGCTTTATTTGCATAAATCAATTTACAAAGATCTATATGGCATCACAGCAACAATATTTAGGTAGGGAATGTCAAACCCTATTCTTTATGCTTTTTCTTCATTTGAAACACATCCCAATATGCTATTACCTTATGAGGCATTTACCTTCTATGGTCAATAGAAGTTTTAGCAGAGGATTAGGGGTAGAAATGCCAGTGAGAGAGAGACAAACAGTATTTAATATTATATATTTCTGTATTACTGCCTCAGCTAAAAGAATATTTTTAAAATACACATGAGTNATAACAAAAAGTTAACAGTTTCATAGGGCCTACATAGATGAAGATACACCAATTTTTTTTAGTATTTCTGCTGCATGTATAGTTTTTGAATTTTACTTACGTATCACATATTACACATATATATTTATTATGTTTCTGCATTATCTTTTTATATTGTTGATGGTTGATTACGTACTATGGTTGATTACGTACTATCAAGTCAGTACATAAAGACTGCATAGATATTCTCCATGATGATAAGTCCCTACCTGGTCCTTCATGTCTTCTCACATTATACACATCAACAATGTAATTGAGTTCATTCACCTTGCTACTGATCCTCCTTTTTCCCTCCACTTTTTCCAGCATTATAGAGTTCTCTAGCAAGCTTTTTGCTTAGTGTGTCCACATTTTAATCATTGCTGCAAATGTTTTATTTACATTAACATGTTTTTATTTATTTGTTTTTTACCATCAACAGTTCACCTGGGAGTGCCAGGTACAAAATGGACAGGTAAGTCAGTAATATCTAATGA